TCGTGTAGCTTTGCGCGAAATTCCAAAACAAACAAACAAACACTGAAAGGAATAACCCTATGATAAAAGCTCTTATTTTACTAAACTCGGACTCTAGAACACCAAAGGCAGACTTATGACACCTATGATAAAAGGTCTTCTTTCGTTTACTTTTCACTGTAAAACACTAAAGGAAGACGTCCGCCTGAAATTTATCATATCTACCTTTCATATTAAAATATTGCAGGAAGACCTTTATACTACCAAAAAAGAATAACCTATCTCTCCTGTATTCAAAGTTAATATTCAACTTATCTTTCACTTTGAACTCTAAAAGGTTTGGTTTGAATTTCGCGCAAAGCTACACGAGGGCTATCTGACCCAGCCTTCCCTAATTTAGCAGTGAAAGACTAGAGGGAAGGCGGCTAGTGCTCACCACAACGAATAGAGGGATTGAACATAACATTATAACGCCCCTACGGCTGAAAGGGCGAGCATGTTTGGTGTGACGGGGATTCGAACCTAAGACCCTCAGATTGCGAGTCAAGCGCCCTAACCACCTGTATTTAAATTTCTTATTGTACCTCTTTATCTTACAATCAAAGCAAAAAAATCATTGATTGTACCCTCCTTATTACTCCTACCTGTGGTTGTAGTACCACACTGAAAATAAAATTAATATAGAGTTCTTATACTTACTCTTGTAATACTATAGTGAAATTAACTTATTTACAGTTCTCTCGTAACACTATATTTAATGAAATCCATGCACAATTTTTACTAAGCCTAACTGCTATCATCAATTTTAAAGAAATTTATTGCAATGTTTATTACACCAACCTGTCACTCTAAAACCATGAAGGAAGACCTTCTTATCTCTAACTCTGTTCTGGCCTTTTCCATTACCAAAAGCTCTAGCTGATCTCTGTCTGAATTGTAAAATGAATCGGCGATTAACTGCGCCACCTCGTGATGCTTCATTTTACTAGTACGAAAGCCGTCTACTTCCAAGATTATGTGTCCCACCTTCAAACCACCAGCCTCGAATGCCGATCCAGAGTCCTGCAAAGTGTTGTATGACATTTATACTGCCTTCTAACGTCAATGAAAACAATTTCAGAAATACGAATAAAAAGCAACTGTTTTGAAAACGTAACCTTACAATGTTGTCTCTCAAATTAGATACCAGTACGTTTATCATATTTTTCAGTAAAAAATATGGTTAGTGTTTGAGTGGCAACAAATACAAAACAAAACTAAATTGCCCCCCCCCAAAAAAAACGTAATTTTCTAGAAACAAGTAAGTTTTTTGTTAATATAATGTTGCAATGTTTTTGCTCTCTAAATGCAAACCCTAAAAATTACCATTTCGTACAGTATTAGTTTTTCTTACTAATACACAATCGAAACACTTATGTTTAAATCCCAATGGCACCATCAATTTAAAACGCTCAGAACTTACATGAATGCTGATAATTCTTGGTAAGGGTTGCCCGGTGTTAGCGCCACCTTCAATGGCGATACCTAGCAGAGGCCTTGTCTTTTTGATAATTATTCTTAACCTTCCATTCGGTTCGGTGGTTGTACGATGTAACTATAACGTAACAACAAATTAAAATATACGAAAAAATACATGGTAAAAGTAACAATGAAAAACGAACTCAATGTTTTCGTAACAACCATCGTTTTAAACCCTGGTAATAAATAAGTTATTTAAAATTAACATAAGTTTTACCAGTGGGCTGATTATGTCTAAATAACGATTTGTATAGTATAATTATATATACAATTAATACTAATCACAATTATCTTAATATTTTTCCCCATATCTTTATGAATATATTTATTTCACCCCAAAATGTTTTCTTTCATTTTCTAAATATATTTAAGCATATCAAATATTTACACTAGGCACACTAGTTTTTAAAGAATTATCATTATAAGCCTGCTATGAAGTACAATAAATAATGAAAAACTGAAACCCATTTTTCGTGTAAATTTAACGTCCATGGTTGAAGAAGGTACAATGGTGTTATTTATTTTTAACTCAAAGCTACACAATGGGTTATCTGCGTTTTGTTCATTGCGAAAAGCGAACTCCTTATTTCACACTGTAAGTCGGTAAAATCACCGCTGACTCACCAGGGGGCAGCAGGTGGAGGGAAGGCTTGGTCCAGCTAAAATAAGGCTTTACATGATTGACTTTGTACGATAAGACTTAATGATTTACAAAAAATATATTAACTGTCACGAAATAGGCTTTCATAGCCTACCTAAGTTATTTTTTTTTCCTTACCTATGGACCATCTAGTGAAAATGTAGGTTCAACAATCGTGTTTATCTTGAAAAGCTACTGGATCGGTTTCTGAACTGAATTTTACTACAACATGTCATTAACACTGTGATACCGTATTTGCTGGTACATAAGACGACCCTTAAATATGACGATTCCGTGAATATGACGACCCTTGAATTTTTGAGCGAATTAATTGTATTTCTTTGAGGTTCGGTGTATAGGACGACAACAGGCAAGTCTAGGATGTTAATTTTGTTAAGAAATTCTTAGAAGTCATTTTTTTTAACTTGTGCTCTAGGGTAATCAATACAGCCACAAGTGTGGTTTTTTTATGCTCTCCAAACGCCACAGAGAGCTAAATGCAACGTAACTTAAGTCACAAACGTGTAACAAATAACTTAACAAAGTTTTCATCCCAGTTAACTCCTTTTCTGTTACAAAAAACAAACAAAAAACTAAAACTTAAGGTATATTGATCTACTATAAAAACATGTCTACAAAATTAGTGTACGTTACGGAAACTACATTTTTTGATATAATATTAGCAACATTTTAGTATGAGATCAATACATTTCCAGTCAAAAATTTCTTGATTAATTGTAACTAGCATATGAGATAAATAACTTCTAGTTATGAAGAATCGAGACAATTATAAATATGTTATTGTAACACAGTAGGTGGCGCCATATCAACGTACTTACTAAAAAAAAAAAAAACAGTAGAAGGAACAACGCAGTTTTGGTTAAATATGCTATTAACCGGAGAGTTCTTACTGGTACTCTTATCTTTGAAACTGTGTATAAGACGAGGGTGTAAAATCAGGTATTTTTTATGTGTAAAAAGTATCGTCTTATACACAGGAAAATACGATATTTTACATCCATAGCATTAGATCCTATTACGTATTTGTTTGTAATTACGTCTTCACGAACCTCTCATTATAGCAGTGTTGGTGGTATAAGGAAAGTATTTTTTCGGTGTCATGATGTATGTTTTATTTCTAAACAAACAACAACTGACTGGTTTTAGATCTTGATAATGCAATGACAGTTTAACTCTCAAAACCTCCCTATACTTGGCTATTAATTCACGGTCTGGAATACAGTAGAGATACTCAAAATATTAAAAATCCACATTAATGTTTTGTCACAGATATATAGTATTACACCAGAAAATAAATAAAACGCCACACAACAAGATTAGAACGAAATGACGAAATATGGAGCTTAGATAACCTGGGTCACACAGTAATATCCATTTAAAGCCGCTTTTCTGTTTGTCACTCAAAAAAAGTAAAGGTTTCGTTACTTCCATCACTTGGCAAATTTAGTTTGTAAACACCATCGTTATGTTCCATCTTTATCTTTCCTGTAAAAACTGGAAACTGAATTCAGTATTTATGGAACCAAAACAAGAATTATATATATAAATATTAAGTTTGTTTCTGTTGTTTTTTAGATTGGAGACTGAAACAGCAAAATGTCCATATCCTTGTTTGATAATTTTGAGAAAGTAATATTTCTATGTTGAGCCACATTTTTAAGAAAAGCTCATAAAGATTAAAATCCATTTGACAGACGTAATAATCTCTTTCAAGTACTGATGGCCAAAATAATAAAATATAAAAACTTAGAAACGATATGTATCCTTACGAATAGAATCTGACGTTATAATCCCGACCAAAAACTTCCATTATATGGACTTCATTCGTTTTTTGTAAAAAATAAACAAGTGCCTTCAGAACTTTTCAAATTGTACCCAAGATTCTCATAACTTGTATTCGACCATAAACCTCTTCATAAACACTTTAAGTCTATTATATTTGCCACGGCCATCTTGTGACAACAATATGGGTTTCCATATAAGTAATATCTTATGTGAATACATCTCGAGATAGGTTGCAAACACATCAAGAGCGAGCTTGATACACTTTAAGCCCATTATATTTGCCACGGCCATCTTGTGACCACAATATGGGTTTCCATATAAGTAATATCTTATGTGAATACATCTCGAGATAGGTTGCAAACACATCAAGAGCGAGCTTGATACACTTTAAGTCTATTATATTTGCCCGGCCATCTTCTGACAACAATATGGGTTTCAATATAAGTAATATCTTATGTGAATACATCTCGAGATAGGTTGCAAACACATCAAGAGCGAGCTTGATGAGAAAGAAATGGTTGAAGCTAAGGGTTGAAACTGAGCCCAACGTTTCCTAACACAGGTGGTGTCTTCATCGCTGTCACTCAAAAAAAAAAAAATGTCAGCTTCAGGAGAAAAAACAAACAAACTGAAACGAACAGTTTGGTTCAATCCTTTAGTTTTAACTTGTTTCATTACATAATCTGTCTGTAATGTTTTGAAAGCTTTGTTTCTCAGACCTTCAGGTTTAAATTCTGTTATTGATTGTTCAATAGTACAATGGAATAAAATATGATGTAATAATATATAATATAATAGTATTCGACTAAGTAAGCTTCTTTTTAATGTGCTGAAAACGGTTTGAATTGTTTCTATAGCTAGCGGAAGGCGGCCATTTTGTGAGGCAAGATACGTCAAGTACGTAGAAGAAGCGTAATGGTAGTTAGAGAATAGCCCGATGTGCCAAGTGGAAACTTTCCTCAAACACTTTCTGTTTCTGTTTGCTTGTTTGTTTTTGTTATAGTGAAAAGCTACACAGTGCAAAGTTTCAAAGCTGTACTCTGTCCACCACGGGGAATCGAACCGCTAACCCATTGAGACACACACATTTTGCTTGTTAGCTTGTTTATAGGTACTTCATGCGATAGTCTGTGGCCAGAATGCTGCTCTTATGTGATCTAATTACATTACGTTTAGAATAACAGAGAACTAATAATAATAATTTCCTGCTTCTTCTTCATATAATCCTTCGAGTGTCGTGTCCAGTTTTCAACAAAAGGTAACAACAGCCATTAAACCGAATAAGATTCCTAACAGAGAAATATAAAGTATCATTATGAAGTTAGCACACAGGATCTCATACAAAAGTTATAATGGTTTTCAAACGAGACCCAAAACTCGAGCGCTTTCGAGTATTTTACTATTCTTCTTCTGAAGAGATGAGAAATATAAGGAATACTATCCTTAGATGTTACTCTGTTAGATATCCTTTTATTTTCTACTATACGACCCTTTAATTGTCCTTTCTATTCTCCCACAAACTCTAACTTATTCAGTGAAAAATCTCTTTATCCATTTGAGAAACGAACAGGAAACCGAATAATTTCACCACCTGTATTCCTGTCAATGATTATGTCCAAGGCTGACTATTCCGAGAGGAAAGGAATTATATTCTACACGGTTTCATAACAGCGACAGAAAAAAACAATACTTACTCTTTTCGAAAGGTTAGGAAAAAAATATGTAAGTTTATCTCCACCCTTCTTGAACCTGAGGTAAAAACACACATAAATATGTAAGTCTATCTCCACCCCCCTTGAACCTAAGATAAAAACACACATAAATATGTAAGTTTATCTCCACCCCCTTGAACCTGAGGGTAAAAACACACACAAATAAGCGTCTATCTCCACCCCCCCCCTTCAACCTGAAGTAAAAACACACACAAACAATCGTCTATCTCCATCCCCTTGAACCTGGGGTAAAAACACACACAAATAAGCGTCTATCTCCACCCCCTTGAACCGTAAAACACACACAAATAAATGTCTATTTCGACCCTGTCGTTAAAAGCAAATTTCATTATGGACTCATATACCAAGATAAGACATCTCAGACGCTTTTATTCTGTGTGTGTCTATAAGAACCGAGGACTTTCAGTGCCAGTAAAAGCATTCTACGATATTAGGTTACATTTAGTCAGAAGCTTTATCAAAAGCCACACATTCAATACACAGAGACGACAATAGCCGCACCCGTACAATACACAGCCTCGTATACATTGTATCACGCTTTCAATAATCTAATGTGGTGGATTCTTTATAGAAGCAAGATATATTCTAGTAGGCAAGTTTGAAGATTACTAAGAGCCGAGGCTTACTAGCACACTTACATTTCGCCTGTAAAGAATAATCCAAAGGTTGTGTCGAACGAAGATGATTGTAGAGAAACTGCATGTATTAAGCACTTGCATGGTCAGAAATATGCTTTAATAGAGATGTGGCGACAGTGAGAGGAAAAATATGTTTTATATAAGTCTATCGATTCCATGCCTTTTTAAGATGAAACCTTATAAATTAATACTTTATACATAATCAAGTTTTCTCTATACGAACCAGAATCGAAACAGTTTTCAAGTTCTTATAAGAATA